GAAAATAAACCGCGATAGTGTCCCCAAACCTAACGTACGCTGATGCCGAGCTCATGCTGAGCCATAAATATGCCCGGTATCAAGCCAGATAGAGAACCTCTCTGAACCATGTGCCCATACCGAGCCAGGTACCATACTGTTGGTCCAAAGTAGCACCACCTCATGCTGTCCACGCGAATCCCGCTCTCGGAACACCCCATCTTTGGTAAGATTAGAAAACAAGTAAGTTAGGGAAAACGAYRTAGGGAATTCTCGACCATCGGCAGTAGTGAAAACTGTTAGAATCCAGAGAAACTGATCTTTCTGGGGTCAGAGTTAATGGCGGGTAATCAAGGCGAAATTTGACCCATCTCCCAATCGTCATCGTTTCTCGCCCCTTTCATTGTTCTCAATCAATCTTCCTTTTTCTCAATTCTATTGTCGGAAAAAATAAATCAAGCGTAAATTCCTCAAAATTGAATTCCGAAAAAGTATATACACATAACCGGATTTCTCTTTTTTCTTTTATCTTTCTCTATTTTTAGTATTTTTCTATGCTTTCTAATTTATTGTCGGGATCATAAAATACGAGGGTTTTCCCCCCTAGTTTTAAATGTCGTATAAAATGAGGAAATTAAGGGATATTATGTTTTTCCCTTCTCCCCGTCTGGTCTTAATCCCTTTTTCCCCATCTCTAATTAAGGTACTAAAATAGACAAAAATTCGAGGCCTCATTTCGGCCCTGGTCGTATGTCGCCAAAAAGGCGGCTGCGAGGTCAGTTCCCACGATACCCCTCCGCGGCAGGTCAATCCGGATCTAACCCCCCCAAAACGGTCGGAAATGACAGTCCCGAGACATGCCGAGTCCGGTCACCCATCTCGCCATCTTTGAGCGTTACTCATAAAGTTCAGTGGGCCCAAAATCAGGGGTGCCCTGAGTTCCCCGAGCCTAAGCCCCAAAACTGCGGATCTCAGGCGGCGCACTGCTTGTGGCCGCCTGACAGTTAGCCTGGACCACTTATCGACGCCCCCGTCGAGGCCCTAGCAACTTACGTTAGACGAAGCGGAGGAGCTTCAGGGTGATAGCCCGTAAAAGACGCCCACGTCGACATTTAATTCTCTTATGTTTCAGTTTGTTATGAGTCCTGGGGCTAAGAAGATGTTCCTTGACTCTCCTATTTCTTCTGGTTTTTTGTCTCGGCACGATCCTCTTTTTCTTCTGTCTTTGCCCCGAGAAGGGTGTCGACCCGCYAGTACGTCTAACGCGAACTCTCCGTCTGGCTCGCTTGAACACGAATAACCATCTCTTCTTTCTTCCTAAACCTACCCCTTTGACCTTTCTCTTATCTACTCTTTTCCTTTTCTTGGAACTCTCTCCTGGCTCGAATCGCCTCAAGGGCGCTCCATCCTCCATCATGGCTTTCCCTTTCCCTTTCGAGCTGGTTAGTGATAAAGCGGGCGTGGGCCTGGGCCTAAACAGCTTTAACCTAGCCCCCGCCACTGGGTCCTTCCACTTAGATCCGTCTAGTTCTGCTATCATATATGCACCCCAGTCAAGTGCCTCAACCACTCTGTAAGGCCCCATCCATCTATTGGCAAGCTTTCCGGTCCAGGTCCTTTCCAGTGCTGCATCGTAGAGAAGGGCCATATCTCCTACGCTCACCCTCTCTTTCCTGATTCGCACGTTCTTATCCCATCTCTCTTTACCCTTCTCCCTTTCCACTACCAGACGATCTGCCGCTGTCATGAGGTCTTCTTCCAAACCGTAGGCTTTTTGTCTCGTTCGGGCAGCTAAGAGTTCCTCTCTGGACATCTCCTCCGCCTAGTCGATGGTTGTCCAGCTGTCGACGTGAAATTCTATGGGAAGCGGACAATGTCGTCCAAACCACAAGGTGTACGGTGGGTATCCGGTACTAGCCCGGACCGTGACGTTGTCCGCCCATATCGCGTATCGAAAATATCGTGGCCAATCACTGTCCTTACCCTTGCACCACTTGGACAGGGACACTATCAGAGTCTGGTGTCCCCTCTCTACTGGGGAGTTCGACTGTGGGTGATAGGCGGTGGCTATCGAAACTCTCGCACCAGCTCTCCT